AAAGAAAATTGGTGGGTGTTGCTTTTTAAAAGTTGTTCAGTCAAAATGCTTGGACATCAAATATATCGATTTTCTTATAAAATGAAATTGGCATTGCTGCGAGAATTGAGAATGAGTAGAGTGTGATGATTAGCACACCTGTTCTTAAAGGCTGTAAAGTTTAATGGTCCGGTTTGAACAACACAGGCTATGGATGCTCACCCTTTAACAGAGCAATGATTTGATTGGGTTTGTTATTGGGATAAAATGATGAATTCCCTGCTGCTTACAGTACCATCCTTCAGAAGTCTTTATGAGAACGTTGTCCACATGCAGGTTTTAGCCCTCGTCATGCACCCTCCTCCATTCCTCTTGTCTCCTTACCCATCATTCCCCTCATTGACATGGTAATGGACTCCATCGTGCGTGACCAAACTGGTCAACTTAATTGATGAAAACATGATTCGCTGAGGGAAGAGAAGTGGGGCTTTGCATATATGAGTCGTGAAGGATTTTCATTTTCTACAGGTTGGAGGAACACATCAGGCTGCTTGAAGAAACTCGATGGCAACTGTTAGTGGGTTTGCAGATCATGTGTAATGCGCTATCGGATTACTTGGCATGACTCGGCATCTGCAAGTGCCAAGCTCGTATCCACCTGCTTGGTCAGGAACCTGTACATGTATAGTGATGGGTCAGTCCACATTTTCTCAGTTCCGATCCGATACACAACTGATACAAGAGTTCTTTCATCACAGTAAAACAATTAGCACTAATAAACTAAAGATTAAACATGAATAATGATGGATCAGTGCATCTACTAGATGGTCAGAGGCCAAGGACACACACTTTTCCAAATTATTGCAAATCTCCACTTTTGGATTAGAAATAAATGTGTGGCCTTGATTTTGCAAGATTTCACACTTACCATTTAAAATGTAGTCAATATTATGGCATTAGTAATTTATTATTAGTGAAAAATCTGTCTCGCTTGTCTTTGTACTGAGGGTGCAGTAAAGAGGGAACTGCATAAAGGGGATCACCTAGGATGCTGCTCATAACTGAGGTTGTGACGCTCATGGCTTTAACATCTTCTAACTGAGCCGCTAACTGTGATGACAGTCGGTTGTGTAGTTCGGGTATAGGAATCTCAGAAATGTATTTTCTGGATGGCAGATTATACCTGGGCTCTGAGTGCTCCAACAGTCCAACTTGGTCCTCAGGTAAGGACAACAACCTCTTCCTCAGTGTGGGGAAGATTAAAGAGATCATTGTGGACTTCAGAAGAAAACCTCTAAAGCATCCACCACTGACCATCGATGGTGCTGTAGTGGAGAGAGTGAGCAGCACCAAGTTCCTGGGGGTGCACATCTCTGAGGACCTCTCCTGGACCAACACCACCACATCACTGGCTAAGAAAGCTCAAACACACCTCTACTTCCTCCGCAAACTGAGGACAGCCAGTGCCCCACCCCCCATCATGTGCTCCTTCTACCGGGGCAACATTGAGAGCATCATCACTGGCTGCATCACTGTGTGGTATGGAGGCTGTACTGCCTCCTGCAGAAGGACCCTGCAACATATAGTGAATACAGCCAGCAAGATCATCGGCGCCCCTCTGCCTTCCCTTACAGACATTTTTAACACCCGCCTCACCCGCAGAGCCATCAGCATTGCTGATGACATCTCCCACCCTGCACACTCCAACTTCAGACTCCTGCCTTCAGGGAGAAGGTATCGGAGTCTTCAGGCCCACTCCACCAGACTTACAGCTTCAGCATCCTCACAGCCTGGTGGATGAACGCTGTCCATTACCTCCCCCCCTCTGCCCCTGGACTGTGACCCACCATAGAACATAAAAAGACTACCTCTGCTGTTTGCACAAACCCAGTTATATTACATGTAAATCTGCTGCTGTTTTTACCGTGATATCTGCTGCTGTTGGTTATTTGCACTACTGTCCATGTGCATCTCGTAAGCTACTATGCATCTCTTCACCAGCGCCCCTGGTGATGCTGACCATCTGACAATCTTCTTGTTATTATTTGCTCTGCTGTCACTGATTGTACATAGTTTTGAGTCATAGCCTATTAGGTTGTACCATTTAGTTTTGTCCTAATTGCTTTAATTTAGTCTTCTTATTCTATTTTACTCTTTTTTTTATCCTACTTTTATTCTATTTTAGTTTCTTAAACGGTATGGGCATTCAATATTAGGTGAGAGAAACAGGTTTTCGATTTTTCTCTATGTCCTGCACATATAGTGAATTGACAATAAAAATCTTTGATATTGATCTTGAAGTATTTGAACAACTTCTTTGTAACCCCTTTAGCCTTTGGGTTGTCTGATCGAAGTTTATATGGACACAAGGTCAAGCCTCGCTCAAGGTGGACGCGACATGCTACGCGCTGCACACACTACATTTTTGGTCTAAATCTGACTGGCACAGAATCAGATGTCTCAGAATGATCAGTCACCGGTCAAGGCCGATCACGCTGAAAACCAGGCATTTCCAATCCCCGCCGATGGGTGGAATCCTAGACAAAATCACTGTTAAGAGATTCTCTAAATATGTTGCTTTTTAAAGATGTCAAAGCTGGAAAGACTGACAGTGACACAAACCTGTAGAATCAGCAGCAATTTGTCAGGTTGTGATGATGGACAGAGTCTTTGTGAACAGTTTTTTTTTTTTTTTCCTGACAGTCATAAGGAAATCTTAGAGGGCTACCAAAAATAAATATGCTAAGCAGTTAAAAATGCTCCAACAATCAAGTTGTGGCACATTGCTATTAGCCTATATTTGCTTTTTCAAACACTCAAGAAGGCTTCTTCCTGACTATTACCATTAAATGCTGTTTACTAACCCATTTGAGCACTGGTATCTGTGGACAAGCTCTATTTGCTTATAACTGACAGACAAGCCTACAAGCAGTGGTGGACATCAGGTGTGTGTGTTCTAAGCTCAAACTGGCAGCTCACCTTTCTGTGGTGAGGGTAGAGTTTCAACAAAAGGCGTCTGCCAAGTGCAAGAAAGGGGACACAACCTAGACAGAGTAACGGCCACCCTTTTGAATAGTGCAGACCCCAGCCAAGACACAGCACTATACAACCTGCTGAAATACCAGCCACGGTGTATGAAAAGCTAATGTCAAAACACTCCACTGTTGTGTGATAATACAAAATCCTCTTCTTTCTTAAGAAAGGGAGAGCATAGAATTTAACATGGATGAGACAGAAAACAGCTGATACTGGGTGTTTCATACAGTATTATTGAGCCCAACACTGGTCCAATTTCAGTCTACAGTACTTTAAATATATTTATGTTAAAACAGCAGCAGACAGTTTTATTACAAGGTGATGAAACTTCCCTCGGAAAAGCTGGAAGCCTGTGTTTTATTAGTTTTTTAAAAATGTCACACCACCATGAGAATGATTTTTGTCTTTGCAGAATGGCATGTAGAAGCATAAAGGGTCATTCCACCCAAATCACACACACAAAAAACAAGTTATTTGCTTATTGAAAGCAGTGAGAGGGATGCAGACAGTTCTCTTTTTATCTATTAAGGTTTCCATATAATATAAAATTTAGATGATCTAGGATTTCTGCTGTCACCCAGATATAACGGAGGTAAAGTGAATTTAACTTGGGGTGCTCACAGCATTTAAAAGTAGCGATGCTAAATGTTTCCTGTCAACCTGTCTGAGGCGCCTCTCAAAACAAGTTTCTCTTCACGCCCACGGGGAGTCGAGAGCTCAGTCTGTGTGTCTGTCTTTGCTTTGTATGCTCACTGTGAAAGGTTGTGTGTGTTTGTGGCTAGTTGTATACGCTACCATGGGATTGAGGACTTTTTGGCCGCTCCTCACTTTCCTCCTTACTGGTTGGGGTTGGCATTTAGCTGTGATGGTTAGCCTAGGGAATGTGTTATGTCAAAGAGTGTCCTTACAAGTATACAAAGACATTTGAGTGTGTGATTTTTGGTTGGCCCTTGGCATTCCAGCCATTCCCCTGGTACCTGGGAACTGGTCTGTTGTCCGCCGACAGGGTATTTTTAGGTCTTGAGGAACAGCTGTGGGAGTCTCTGTCTGCACAGATGTCCCGACCGTCTGTTGACTGAAACGTGTGGTGAAGCTCAAGAAACAACACAATCTATTTGCAGCAGTGCCAACTCAGTGGGGCACTTTTTTAGGATTACAGAGATTGAAGCTAAGACGAGTGTAGGTCTGTGTAATTACAGCAGTGAGGAATCTGAGGTGGTTTGCATTGAGTCTGCTTTGCTACGCAAGCTTTGCCTCCACAGCAACCCGGCGCTGTGGCTTTCTCACATGGGAATTGTACTGAATCATGTTGGGCCTGAGGTTTCCATGCTCATCAAAAAGTAAACAGTGAGAAAATGTTCTGGTGGACTGCAGCAGCAGTTGTACAGTAGTTGAACCTGACAGTGAAATAATCAAACTACTTGTCGTAGCTTCAGTCAAAACTATGACCCGGCGAATTCGTGCCCCTAAATGTCACCACAGCTTTTGTTTGAACCAAAATGAATAGTTTTTATTAACTGTAATTCATGGTTATTCAGTGTCATAGATGAGATTGAAGCCATGTTTTCGGGTGCTTTAAAATGAAAAAAGGGGGTTCAAGAGCAGATAAAACTGTTTTAACCATACACATCCCTTATCTTTTCCAGTGTCATCAAACTGTATCCATGTCTACGCAGATTTTAAAACAGGTTTTATATAAATGCTTACAATGCTGCAGGTTTTTGAACCTTCTGTGTGTAACCTATGGTGAAATGTTTCCCGGGAGCACTGATACCTTTAGAACAATATCACTGGCAAAAAACTAAACCCAGAACAAGCACGGTACTGCTAAACCGAAGGTCCAACTGACATCACTAACTGTATGACGTCAGTTTGCTGTTTCTCATTTGATGCTAACAGACTGTGTTTTGATTCTAACAGAGTGTGTGTGTGTGTGTGTGTGTGTGTGTGTGTGTGTGTGTGTGTGTGTGTGTGTGCCATGGCAGGGGGAGAAGAATGCTGGCTTTGACGTGCTCTACCACAACATGAAGCATGGCCACCTGGCAACCAAGGAGCTAGCAGAGTTTATCCGTGAGAGGTAAGATTGGTGTGTATTTGTGAATAACTGTGTGGGAGGTGGCGGTAGTGAAGGGGCTCAGATGAAGAAATTCTACATTCTTGACTTTGTTTACTTGGATAGAAAGATAAGACATTGTGCCAAAGCTGCTTGAAATCCTTAAAGACTTGGACATTTTCAGTCATTCATTATGCCAACCTTAGCTTAATTAGCTTGCTAGACATTAACTAATCGCCAAGAAATTTGAGAAGTAAATCTGCCACTGTGCTGAGTGAACACTGAAAGATTATCCAACTAAAACGGTCTACTCAAAAGTGGGTTTATTATAAATACATATTTATTATTGGTGAGTAATCTGAGGAGATGAATGAGGCTCTTACAGGCGTTTTTGCTCTCACACCTGAAATTAAAATACTTGCCGTGCTCTGTCAGACCAGTGATATAATCCTGACATTGATTCAAAGTGCCTGTGCACATTCCTCGCAGGGGCGAAATCCACTTATCTTTAGCGGACAACAACTCAGCAGTCAGGAAATAAAATAGGGGCACTGTGAGTAAAACAGTTTGTGATCCCGCAGGATGGAGGAAAAGCAGTTGTGCTGATAAATTTCCACCGTTACTGCTTCTTGACAGGTCATTTTGCTAAAACAAACCATTTGAAACAACCTCTTCCAACCACAAGCCCACGGTTTCTCAATTATTGCTTGTTTCATTCCCTGCTCTTGCCCTGATGTCTAATGAAGATATATTGCTAAATGTGGTTACTGAGCGGATGGTGGGGACACAGATGTCAGGTTTTGACTAGTGGGGAAACAGTCAATTTAGGACTCAAACAGTTAGTTAATTGGATTCTCAGATAATTAATTTGTCGCTATTTTTGATAATTGATTACTAATTGAAGTAATTTTTCAAGCACAAATGCCAAATGTTTTCTATTTCCAGCTTTTTTCATTTTATGTCGGAGTAAACCTTTTTGACTGTTGGGTAGAATAAAACAAGACATTTGAAGGCATCACTTTGGCCTTAAAGTCAACTAAATTGTAAAATGTGATTAGCATTTTTCACTATTTTAAGACATTTTATAGACCAGGCTATCTGTTAATTGAGAAAATAATTAACTGATAATGGAGATTTGTTTATTTGTAGTTTCATCCCTGAATCACTTGGTGGGTCAAAGGCATGCTACCCAAAGGTCATTATGATAATGAATTAATTGTTGAATTAATTTGTGAAGTGATTAGTGGACTCAAAACTGGCAATGCTTTGAGCCCAGTTAAAGACACTAAGCTGAGTTGGAATCTAAATGTCAGGGATTTGATTGGGATGACAGTGATGTTTTGATCAAAGCATCATTGTCTGTCAGGAAAAAGTTTTGGTAATCAATATGTGGCTGGGGGGAAACATGCAGGCAGACATTACTTGTTTCTAATCCCAGTAGGATCTTTTATCTTCTCTTTTTTATTAATATTTTTGGCTGTAGAAAATAAGCCTAAATTACTAATTGATTCAGTGAAAACAAAGGAAACTATAAAAAGATTAAATCAATTGGAGGGAAAAATGCTTTCTAGTTGTGATGCTATTTCGAGTTATATTTGTGGGCTTTTAGCCTTTATCGGTAGTGAATCGCCAAGGAAACAAGGGAGACCTGTGACAAATGTCGGCGGTCGGACTCGATATGTCCACTTCTCACACGCAATGTGTTGCCAAGTATGTGATGCACCGCACCATAGCCACTCGGTTACTGGGCGTCCCAGAGAGTCAGGATGTGTTTTGATCCACAGTGAGATTTCTGCATCGCTGCTCAAGCTAAACACTAAGCGTGTCTGTTTGTTTATGAGTCTCTCTCCTCAGTAGCAAGTTGTTCTGTTCACCCTCGGGATATTTGGATCAGTTCTCCTCCTTTCTTCCTCTTCGGGCTCTACATATGGTTATTAAAGTTTCATGTACAGCCTTGGAAAACAAGTGCGTTCATCGTTTGGCATCGTTTGACTGTGGTTTATTGCAGTCTTTACCCAACACTGATGAGAAAGAATCTTTACCCCACTGACTGTGGCGGTGGACGCCCAGTGTTTGGGCCAAAGTAAACACTAGATAGAACTTAACATATGAGGTCATTAGCAGAGGTAGTATAGTGTTGTGAGCAAAGTACATCACATTGAGTGCTCTGAAGGCGGTTTAAAAGAGTTTCCATTTTAAAGAATGCCTAACATTGCTGTTGTTTTACTGCCAGCTTTACTAGAAACAAGAAAGAAGAGATGCATCTTCTAACCTCGTGCGCGCACACACACGCACACATATACGTAAGAAACATCAGAATAAACTGTAGATATGCAGCAGCTCTTCTCAGTGAACACCTTTTTTTTCACAAATATTTTTATTTATGTGAATCATCATCTGTATTCTTTCAAATATGTTGTTTGAAAGAATACAGACTTTCTTAGTGGTTACAGCTGCAACGATCTGTCAGTAATTTAGTTGAAGAAAAAGAATTGGCAACTTTTTTGCTCATCAATTTTTCAAGCAAAAATGTCACAATTTTGCTGTTTCCATCCTAAAGCAAGGTATTATAAGACATCAGTTTGGCTCTGCATTGAGAAAATAATCTCTAGATTAATGAATTGCATATCCAACACTGCTGTAATTTTTGTCTTATGTGTGTCTTACTTGAAGCGCCATGACACAGAAATCAAAGTTAAATGTAAGTCGTTACTGCACCAGTTGTTTTGCTGATGTTTGTGTGTGCAGGGCTGCCATTGAGGAGACCTACTCCAAATCAATGAGCAAACTGGCCAAGATGGCCAGCAATGGAAGTCCACTGGGGTGAGTACAAACAAGGCGACTTCAGGTTCACCCAACAACTTCCTCCTCTTCCCCTTCTGTACGTTACAGCAGTGTTTATCAGATTATGTCCCGGGTGTAATTTATGATTAAATTAATTCCATCTCTGCCTTTTAACATAAACTGTGCTTAAATTCACCGCCCACTTTATTATTATTAGGTACACCTGGACCTGTATGCGGTTCAATGTAGCACTAGTGTTTATGAAGCTCACAGTGTTCAGTTTTTGGTGAAATTGTTATAAATATATTAATTCAATTATGTGTTTATTATTGATGGACTACATTATATTCAGAGGTGCTCCTAATGTTCTATTGGCTGAGGAAAATGGCACAATATTGTTGGTTTACTGAAGCTTTGTTCATTAAAGTCTTTACGTCTCCACAGTATGATACCTGGTGTCAGAATAGTTTCAGCCTGGCAGTCTTGTGTGTGTGTGCTTGATTATATATGTATTTTCCAGGACGTTTGCACCCATGTGGGATGTGTTCAGGGTGTCTTCAGACAAACTGGCCCTCTGCCACCTGGAGCTGATGAAAAAGATGAACGATCTCATCCGGGACATCAACAAGTATGGAGATGAACAGGTCAAAATTCACCGCAAGGTACCTACTGAGATACTTTACCGCTGTCCTGACAAACTGGCTGATTTGGGTGTCTGTGTGTGTTTCTGTGAACCTACACTCGCCCTGCTTCGAGCCTCTGTCATTCTGATCTAAATAATGCCACAAAGTCTAGTTACTATCTGTTCCTTTCATGGTAGTTGCTGCATATGCCCTTAAAGTATTGAGTACAATGATACAGTATGTCCCTGTTTCTCTGTGTGTGTGTGTGTCTGTGTCTGTGTGCACGTACATGAAACTAAGACTAAGGAGGAGACAGTGACCACAGTGGAGGCAGTGCAGGCACTGCAGGTGCAGAGTGGTCACCTTCAGAAGTCAAAGGAGGGTTACCACGGCAAGTGTTTGGAGCTGGACCGACTGAAGAAGGAGGGGGCTCCACAGAAAGAAGTGGAAAAGGTTAGCCTGCGTTTCCTCTGTTCAAGATGGGCACTTCAGATTCTAAACAGACAGGAGCTAATGGTGTCAGTCAGTCAAGGACCGACATTGGATGGTGACTCTAAATATCAAATTAAATCTAATACAGAATGACTTCAACCTGAGAAAACCAATCTTTTGGAGCAGTCCAATCAGAGCCCAGACCTTAGCCTAACAGAGTTTCTGTGGATTGACCTGTAGAGCCGTTCACACTACACCAGAATCTGTCTGATCTTAAGCAGTTCCGTGAAGAAGAATGGTCCAAAATGCTTCCTGAACGATGTGTCTGCCTCACCCACAGCTACTGGGAACACTGGTTTGAGGTTAATGCTTCCACAGGAGGTTCAATTAGTTATTAAATCCAACAGTCCATTCACTTGATTTGTGTGTGTGTTTAGCTTAAGCACATTGTGTGACTAACATTTCCATTCAGAGATTTAGACAAACTTTCACATTCAATGGGATGATGATGATGATGACGATCAGTTCACATTTTATGACCAATTAATGCAGAAAATTAGGTTACGCCAAAGGTTTCATACACTTTTTTCTTCCAAAAGTATGTGAAATTATCAGTTTAAATATTCCTATTCTGTTTGTTTATATTAATATATCAGCATTATTCAACTGCCATGCATCCAAGTATTGGTACTAGTGTACAAAGACCGGCATTAAATTGAGAAAATGTTTTTAAAATGAACAGACGTGTAGAGCTCAGCTGCCGCTATCGCTCTCCTCATGATCGTCATGTGACATCTTGAGAAAAACGTCAAAGTGTCCAGCATCAGTATCCATTCATGTCATGTTTGTTTTGTTAAATCCATCATACTGATGTTTCTTTCGATGTTCTCTGTTTTACTGACCGCGATGCTGGTGATAGTTTAAATAGATTAGATTTGTCCAGGGCTGATAATCAGGAGAAACATGCTCTTAAACATCGACTGTAGTCAAATTACTGTTTTTGTTTTGAAGGTACAGGCTGAATACTGCATTGAGTAGTTGGAATAACATGCTCTCATCACTTTCTGAGCTGTTCTTTTATGTTCCAGGTTTGTGAATGAGGGCCAGTAACTAAAGGCCATAATTTTCCTTATCTTTCTCACTAGGCGGAGCTGAAGTCTAAGAAAGCAGCTGAGTCATTTGCGTTGTGCATCGAGAAGTACAACCGCGTGGGAGGAGAGTTTGAGCAGAAGATGAGCGAGTCCGCCCAGGTCAGCTGTGGCTCCTGCTGGGCCGAGGGCCACTTCTTTATCCGCTTCTCTCGCCCTCTGATGTGGTGTTTTTTACACATTTTCTTTTTCTCTTGAGCCTAATCTTTCTCTTCATCTCTCTGTCTACCTGTCTCTGTAACCTCCCACCACACAAGAACTTCATCTTATCCTCTCATTTATAGTCCTACATCATGCCTACCCCAAAAACAGAAATCTCAGCCCCCGACTCCTAAACACCCACCTGCTTGCACATTCTGCACCCCACTCATTACCTTTAATCACTGCCTCCACACTTCCATGGTTACTGCTGCTGCTGTTTCCATGGTTATCCTTAACAAACTCCAATGGCTGCCTCTGTATTTTACATTTGAAATGATAGCTGACATCCTTGTGACCGATTATTTTTTGTAGTAGCATTGAAGGTGAATGTGGATCCCTGAAGAACAACATATTGAAAGATTTTTTTTTTAGAAATGGTGTGAGGTTTCTCATCTTATAGCCACATTGTCAAGACCTGGTAACGCCAGAACAGCCATCCTTATGTACGACCATTATGCACAGCTACTTATAGAACGTTGTAATTTAATCACACACCTGTGAAGGCTTTTTGCTGGGCTAATGATGTCTCAATCATCATTAAACAAAAATGTATTAATGACAGCAGTATCAGCAGTTTACAGAATAATTTACAAGAAAGTCCTAAACTGAAAATTACATTAAGGCAAAAGAAATAAGATCAAAATTCATCAGGGCAACACAAACACATTGTTTAAAAAATACACTTTGTTTACTGAAGTATATGCAAATAGCTTAAAATAATTCAAGCTGTTTAAAATTGACCGTCTAACCTTATTCTTCATTTCCACTTCACCATATCACACCTTCTCAAACCGTGTGTATTCATGGTCTCTGAAGCATGTGTGAGGTGTGCACATTCATCCTACTCATTCTGTGTTTGCATGTGGGAAAAGCCGCACGCATTGTTTATGCATCGGGACCCAGGTGTTTTGATGGTGGTGGTGGGTCTAACACATTACTACAAAATCACCCGTAGGTGTTCAACTGACTGTGGAGACCATAACGTAGAATTCGCATCATTTTCCAACTCCTCGAACTATTCAGTGACCCCTCGTGTTCTATAGATGGGGGCTCTGTCATCCTGGAAGAGACTTCTCATTTATTCAGGCTTTATTCTCCTTTAATTTGTCACCAGTCTGTGTTGTGTTTATAGCAACAACTTCAAGGGTTTCAGAAAGGACAGACTTGTCAAGTAGAAAGAGTTTGCATTAAACAGCGCCCTGGTGCAGATAGAAATTAAGTGTCCCGCGAAAGGTGGAAATCAATTAAGAAGAGTACAGAGAATGTATTATGTTTGCTCTCTTTTCTTGTTAAATTGGGGAAAAGGAGCTGGCAATCTCACCTCTCTGACAAAAGCCAGAACCACTATATCAGAAGAATTCCCCCTGAACCAGACAGCAACAAATGAGCTGGCTGAATGAAGAGCAGGATCAAACTTCACCACTAAATCCTCTCAAATTATCGCTGGTTTAACAACCTGGCAGCCCAAAGCCTGCTCTTCTGTTTGACTGCCTCTCTTAAGCCGGTTCCACAGACCTCAGTCAGAGTTTATTCTCCCTTTAGTGGATACGGGTTTATTTAATTAGCACAAAAGGTGAGAAAGAATGACCACCTACAGTTAAAGATGTAACAGTGGAGTTTTAGGGGTTTCAGACGCTAACAACATTTTTCTTCACCTTCCTGTGTGCACATGAATGTGCGTTCTGTGGTGTATGCGTGTTTGTGTGAGTAGAAGTTTCAGGAAATTGAGGAGGCTCACCTGCGGCTGATGAAACAACTGATCAAAAGTTACTCCCACTCCATAGAAGACACGCATGTCCAGGTGGGGCAGGTATGTACGCAGTGAGTCCTGCTCTAACGAGCCGCTTCACGAGAAGAACACACTTCCTCCAAAAGTGAGGGGGAATTTCTGTTGTTAATTAGAACCTGAGTGTAGAACTGATATGTTATCAGGTCTAAGTCACGACTCATCTTTGACTATATGTGAGTTATTTATGTATATTTTAGTTAAATCTCTGTTGGATAATTGGTACAATCTCGGCTCCCTGGTCGGCTGGACAGAATTTGATTATGTTTGATGATGAGTGAGTGCTTGCTTGTAGACCGCAGTGGGCTGGGCAACACAAGTGGAAGTGGATTTTATCATTTCTGATAATTATAAACAACATTTCCAGTTAAAAGTTGGCGTTGAGATGCAGCAGGGCTCTTACATCTACTGAAGGTAGTCAGGAGTTGTACAATCATTTAGTGGCACCACAGTTTCACAGCAGTGTCCTGTGCATTAAGTGGTTTGAAACGACATCTTCTAATTTTACAGACACGCCGAGAGCTATAAAAATAAATGGATTGTTACATATTTTAGGACTCAACTACAATACCATTCATGTTTCACTACAAAAACATAACAGGGCTTTAAAAACACTCATCACTGAGTTGATTTTTAAATAAAAGATTAAATTATTGTTACTATTATTATTATTTTCTTTTCTGCTTTAGGTCCACAAGGAATTCAAGCAGAATGTGGAAAACATCGGCATTGATAACCTCCTCCAGAAATTTGTAGAGCAGAAGGGCACGGGCAAAGACAGGCCAGGTACAGTGAGTCAGCAGCATGAAGTTTGGCTCGTTTCCAAGGAAATGCAAAGAATAAACACACAACTCCAGCAGTTACATAACAATAAAAGGTTTGATGCCCACACTGAAAACCATATTGTAAATGTGGAATAATTCATAGTCACAAAACACAACAGTGAGTGAATGCTTCAGCCTACGTGAGTGTGTGTGTGTTTGTTTCTCATTCTTTCCTGCCTGCTGCCTGCAGCTCTGGCTGGTTTTGAGGACTACATGACAGCTTTGGCACCTGAAGGCATAAAGAAGAGTCGAGCAAAGGCCTTCAGGATCCCCGGCCTGGGCAAGAGGGACAAGGAGCCAGACTCGACGTGAGTGTGTGCACACACAGTAAGACAGGCATGCCCAATAAGCCCCGGTGCCCGTTTCCTTAGGCCAGTTCAGCTTAGTCTGGCTCCCCTGGGGTTGCCCGACTTCTGTGAGCACGACACCATCGGTCCTGGATAACTGCTGGCACAGACTGGTTATCAACTAGCAACTCTGGGCTTACCTATCAGCCTAGGGGCGCGTTCATGTAAAAGAGATTGGTATGAAATGAAACGGTAATATGCCTGTATGATTTATATATTAAGTTACAGAGTGAGAATTTTTGCTTTTGCGTCTGGCGATGAACAAACAATTAGCAAAATGTGTTGCACAGAGAAAAATGAAAAGTAATGTCAGGCCGCTTCTGCTGCCAAAACAGAGAGGAGATGTAAATGTACGGTGAAATATTTACCAGTGTGTGGACTATTTTTCTCATAAAAGGCAACAGACGGCATCTTTTTCATTTCCAGTTATCATCACGGAGTCTCCTGATGTTGTTCTGAGATGCAGTAATGGAATAAGAGAGCAAAAGCACTGATGCTGGCAGGGATCCTGTTGGGAATGAAAGACACTTTACTAAAGTACAGCTATAACGGTCATTGGGTAGTTATCGGTGTGCGAAGCTGCTCTCCATTTGTTACAGGCAGTTTTAAAATGAATGGAAATCCTGGAACAGCAAAACGATTTGACTGATCTATAAAAGTAGCTTTATTATTTGTCATTTTATGGTGAACTCTTGACTCTTTTGTTTCTGGAATCCTGTATCATTGATGATTCAGTCTTTTCCACTGATCTGACTGGTCAGTCATCGACTGTCGGCAGATTGTGAGATGATCCTCTGACGTTAACCTGCTCTGGAGCAAGTTAACTCTCCAGCTAAATGTCTGCTAGTTTCCTGATACCAGAAAACCTGAGATGCATGTAAACTCACAGACAGCTGGATAATGCACTAACCTCGCTTTATGGTACAGGCCCCAGATCTTCTGAAATTGAATCTTGACCTTCAGTCTGAGTTACTACTGAGCTAATGACAGCACATAAATCTGTGTGTTTTTTTTTTAATGTTTGCAGGGATTCAGCTGTAACAGAGACTCTGGTGAGTATTTGATGTAATTTTACACTTTATACACTTTTTACTCTTCAAGCTGCACTTACACTTGCTGACAACAGTATTTTAGAGATCTTCTGCACGATAAGAAGAGTGTTTGTAAAAAGAAGGTGAGTAGAGAACATGAGTGTGTGATGGTGACGCAGCTGACGGTGTGAGGTTTCCCAGGTTTATTCCGGTACTTCTGAGAAGAGGTTTCTGAGATAATCTGGCTGCCAGAGAGGAAGTGCATGAAGGGAGTGTGTGTGTTTGTGAACGCATCAGCCTGGGGATGCTGGTGTGTGTGAGGGCTGTGGATGCTGCCAGAAAGCCATTAAAAACACTCCAGTGGAAGAAGAAGGCAAACAGCAGTGCACAGAGAGACCGGTGCTGCTAATTTACATTTTCAAAGGCATCATCTTCCGGTCTGCAGTGTGACGGGCACAGGTGATGTTAGCAGAGCGCACTTTAAAAGATGTCGCGTGTGAGAATACGTGAACTGAAACTCTTTGTTCACCTTCTTGATAAATGTCATTATATTAGCTATTAATATTTAAAAGATCAGCTCCTGTCAGTTTATTTTGTCTCCAACACTCAGGGGCCTACATTATATTTAGAGGTGTTCCTAATATTCTGACCTATCATGTATGTAACCGGGGAACACAAAAATATAGACACCTCTAAATATAATGTAGTCCAGTACAACACCACCTTTAACTAGTGCCTTTTGTGTCTGTGTTGCTGACCTAGCTTGTGTGTGTGTGTTCTCATCCCTGTTCATACAGAATTCACCCCTGGAAGTAGACGACGAAGGATTTGTCATCCGCGCTGACACCACCCAGAACGATATCCTTACCAGTCACAGGCTCAGTCTGGTCACACCATGCTATTATATTCTAACTTTCATCTTCTTCTCATTCCCGCCCCCCAAAATATTTATTGGCTTTTTATTTATTTTAGATTTTCATCATTTTTTGTGTACAAATGGACATAAAAAGAAGTCCTCCAAAAGTACTATAAAAGATGTGCTTAATCTAAAATAGCAGTCAACAGCCCAAAGTATTGGGCAAGCGAGCACCTCTTCCCTTTTCTGCACATATTGGTATTTTTTTACTTGATGATTACAGTGAGTTTGATAAACTAAATATGAATCATTTCCTTTTGTCGGTTGACTAAACGCTAATGATTATCTTTGTTGGAAAACACCACCTGTCCAATGAAAAGAGCTAAATCAGCTGTCCCAGGTGACATCCACATATTTCAGATTCATAAGGAAGATGCAGATTTCTGAAATGCAGTGACAATGAAACCACAGGTGTTTTACATAAAGTGTGATGTGAAGGTCAGAGGCAGGATTAATGTAGTTTGTTTAACCTCGTCCCTCAGTTTTTCCGACCCTTGAATTATAAACAAAGCGCAACACATCCACGTGCAGCAGATTGTGGCACCCTATGAAAAGAGGATGTGGCTTTCACTGGGGGAAATTGTGCGGCAGGAAGTGGCAGTTTATCTGCTTGGCAGCTCAGCAGCCCTCACCTCCACCGCGCTCTGCATTGCTGGGGCCCCTGTTCATATTGTGCATGTGTGTCTGCTGCTCTGCACGGTTTCAGATTAATACAGTGAATCAAATTACTTTCTTTTCTCTTCAAGGAACTCAGCATTTGTAAAATAATATTCACCGATATGTCGGGGTTATAAATCTCTTGGCTGCTCTCATGCATTTTTGGCTTCATATTTGGTTTATTTTTCAAATGGTGTTCACACATGACATCTTGAGTGAAAATAGCTGAAGCCTAATTTAACTTAAACCCAAAAGGCCCTTCTCTTTGACTCGCGTGGTATCTTTTGTTGAAATGTACTTGCCATGCAACGTCACTTTTCATTCCCTGTTTGCAGTTTAAGCTTGTTCTCCTTGACCTTGCTCTCTGACTCTACGCTGCTCTGAAGACAATTTCTACTCTAGTGATTCAGATTTTGATGATGAGGAGCCCAAGAAGTTCCACATCCGGATCCGACCCGTCACCAGCAGCAACCGCAGCAACGCTGGCGCCACTGAGAAGGAGCTGAAAGCCACTGTAGGGGCTCTTACCCTGCCTCCCAACCGAGGGGCACGGCAGCAGGTTGTTTATCTTAGTGTTTCTGTTTTTTCAGGATTTATCTAAGGACACAATTTACCCAAGATGTAGAAATCTAAGATTGACTGTTGACCTCACCAGAAATTATTATGGGACCAACTCGTATGTTGTTGGTTTTGGTCTTTTCATGGGATTTGTTGACAAATAGACAAATGTAGATTTAGACCAACCTTATTCCTTATGTGACTCCATTGTGTTGAACAAACCCGTACCTCTCTCTGAATTTCAGGTGTCAGTCAACCGTCATCTCTCCAGTAAGTTGTTTTTGGAGTATTTCAGTTATTGTGCAGCAGCTGAAAATATACAGGATCCTGTAGTGTGGTGTATCTTTGAGCACAGACTTCTGAAAGCTGAAGGTTTCTGTTGTCTCTGCAGGAAACTCGAGTACTGCAGGAGGCCGCACGGAAGAAGGCGAGGCAGCCTCCCACAGGGGTGAGTCTGTCTGTCTGCCAGGCTTTTCCTCTTTGAAAGCTGTCTATTTTTGTATCTATCTGAAATGTTTGGTAGAGTAGTCAAATATGTTCTTATTCCTGCTCATACTGTGTATGTCATATACACTGATCCACCACAATATTAAAACCACTGGCAGGTAAAGTGAATAACACTGATTATCTTGTTACAGTGTGCCCATGAAGAGGTGGGACATATCAGTCAGCAGCTCACCTGTCGATTCTTGAATTTGTTGTGATGAAAACAGGAAAAATGGGCATGTGTGAGGATTTGAGGGACTTTGTTACGGGTCAAATTGTTATGGCCCGACTACTGGGACTGGACCATTGATGGACATGGCGTCAACACTTCCCTTCCTGGCAAAAGTGAAGCCAAAATATTGTCAACACAGTGGCTGCCATCTTGCTTTTTTCAGCCAGGTTCTGTGCAGTAGTGACAAGAAGTAGAGTGACAGCTTTAGACAAAGCTGTCAAATCATCTGGAATACACCTTTTATTTTATCATCAAATAACTTATTAAAAACAAACTTACCAGAAAAATGACCACTATCAGCATGATAATATTTACCAAATATGGCACAAGTGACCTCTGGCAAAAATGGTTTTGATTTGTTTTGGCTCATGTCCCGTCCACTAACATGGAGGTAATGGGATTTCTGACCTATACCGCAACCGGCCACCAGGGGGATAGAATAACGGTGGCTTCACTACTGGGAGCCGTCAGCCGGTCCATCTTTTATTGTCAGTTGTCTGGACCTACACAATATTAGGCGTGTGGTTTTAATATTGTGGCTAATCGCTGAGTGGAAATTCAGTATTCATTCATTCAGTAACATTCTATGTGAAAATGGCTCCTCGTGCTCAAGGAAAGATTAATCTATTAATAAATCAGCAGATTTATTGATACAAAAATAACTGGTGCCTAATTTTGTATTTGTTCCAGTCTGTGTTACAACAACAAAAATATCAGTCGTCCACTGTTGGTCTGTCACGTTGTGCATTTACACCTGCAATCTGAAAAGGATGAGAAACATTTTTCACAGATGCTCACACCACCACCACCACCACCACATTTGTAACACTAAAGCGATGATGCCTTCATGCAGCATCTGTCTACCTACACCCTGTGTTTCCCTCCAAACAACAAATATCTTCATTGGCTGTTAGTCACACTCGACTCTCTGCTCGAGCTCCAAAACATATTTTATCACTGACTGGTTCGACAGCTGCCAGTATTTTTTTTCCCCGCACGGTTCCACCCCCGGCCAGTAGGTTAGGTTGGAGTGGAGGCTACAACCTGCTGCTCCCCAGCAGCAGGGAGCCTTTCTCTCATCGGTTCTGAGGTGAGAGTATTAATCATGAAGGTCTTATTAAGGTGGTGACTCTGCAGTGACAGCAGCAGTGGCTGGATCTGAGTGAGTCCTGGCTAATTGCTGGTATTTATCACTGAGAAGGTAGTGACTTTCCATCCCAGCCCCACGTCAGCTCTCTGAAGCCACTGTGCTGATGATTAGTCCTGATTGGGGAGCATCCTCTACAGTGAACACCCATATCTCACTGTGTGTTGTCCCTTTACAGATGGAGAGCAGGAGGGCCTCTGCAGGTCCACCTCCAGTCCTGATCACAGCAGGTGAGATGGCACTGCCTTTCATGTCCTCCTCCTTTCTCAGAGCTGTCTATGAGTGGAGCAGAGAGGGATGTTTGTGGAGGTTAAATTGCATCATCAGTGACCTTGTCAGCTCTTTAGGTTTCCTCCTCACAGTCACTGTCACCATCCTTGTTGTGTTGTGCATTTTCTAGCTTCACCTTTGTCACCTTCATTGTTCCGTGGTTCTTTTCTCTCTCTGTTTCCTCTGTAGCTCAGAGAGAGTTCCAGTAGTTTTGTCAATTTTGGTTTTTTAAAGTGAAACAAAATGATTATTTTAAGCCAATTTAATAGTTTGTAACGCACCATAATGTATTTGTAAGCAGAACTAAGTGTTTATTAATACACTTGTTAAAAACTTGTTGCATCCTTAATGTTTGTCAGACAGTGATGCCAGATTTGGCCAGTTTTTCTTTCTTACCCGGGGCAGTCTGATTTCCAAAAGAAGCCTTCTTCATCATGAGTTTAATTTGCTCAGCCTGACTGCAACAATGCAACCTGTCTGATGCTTCACTGAGCCGTGGTGGCTTAGAGATGTTTACTCACACACACAGCTGTGGAGATTCTGGTTGTTTGAACCAGTCACTGAGATTTGTTTATTAAGGTGTAGAAGTGTTCCCACTTCCTTATTACATCTGCATCATTTATTTTGCTGGGTTAAGCCCAGAGTTGCACAGCAGCAAAACAACACTACCTACACAGAGAATTGTCTTTCCAGAAAGTTACAAAAGGAAATAACATCTCACCAGGATGGTGGTTTTGATTGCTGCTGTATCCCCTCTCCTTCCGTGTTTTGCACACTTGATTTCTTTCATCCTCCATCCTTCACAATTCCCCAGATTTCCTTTTCTCTCACTTCCACCCACACTTCTGTTCTCACTTTTCTTTTATTACTCCTCCACTGTCATCACTCTCACCTCCTCCCCCTGATTGTCTCTCTTGTTTCTTCCCTGCTCTCTTTCAGGTTGAGCTTGATGGTGTCCGGTTCAGAGAGTCTGTTTGGACCACCGCTGGAGTCGGCGTTCAAGTCCAAAAGCTTTGGCGGTCGGGAACAACTCAGCGAGCAGAGCACCTTTGGCGCTTCTGAATGTACGGGAAGTTCTTGTTTTAAAAGTGTTTTGTAAAGTTGCGGTTTGTGGTCCACTTTTCCTCTTATTACTGGCAGGAATCTGAAATGATCTGAATATAAGTAAGGTTAAAGGTTGAACAGGCACACCCACCAACATACTATTAAAAATTAAAGAGGTTGCTAGAGTAGCAAATGGTTGTCACTGCATGCCCGAATATGCAGTATCTCCAGTGTTCACAGCTGCTGTGATGGAACTGTCCATGCAGGCTCTCACACAGGTTGTACTGTAGAATGAGCATGATTTAAAAGGCATTTACTTTCTAAAAAAAAAATAAATAAATAAATCATAAAAGGGCCTCAAGTCGTAACAAAGCAGAGTACCTAATCTCCTCCAGTTAAAGAATGGAAACCATGTCATTGAGCTGACGAAAGAGGCCGATTTCTTGTAGACGCAAAGGAGGTCTTTGATTGTAAAGAGGCCCTGAAAATTTTATTTACATGTTCATGTTCTTTTGTTTTCCACCGGTAATGTTAATGTCCTGTAATGTGTTTGTGTCAGATGCTGCCTTCTTTTCTGATTCCTCCTCCCCGGAGAATGTCGAAGACTCCGGTCTGGACTCGCCTTCCCTTCAGCCCCTTGGGCCATCTCCTGAGCCAGTGGGTTGGGCAGCTTGGCCTCCTGTGTCACAGGGTAAAGAACAAGCATTGGCACAGCCTGTAGACCCTTTCCTCTCTGCTTTCCACGGCCCCTCCCCTGGTCGCAGTCCTCACCTGCAGGACGACCCTGCCAATGTCTGGTCTGTTGCATCATCTCGTCCTGCTCATGCCCCCCCAGATATGGACCCTTCATTGTTGCGGTTCCCTGCTTTCTCTCAGTCCCTTCCCCCGCCTGAAATGGAGTCATCGGTGTGGAACTGTAAACACATCCCCCCTGAGGACCCCTTCCTTGCTGCGTTTGAGAGGACTCAGGAGACTTTAAACCTGTCTGATGCCTGGGCACGGCCACCTCCTCGCTCAACGCAAGAGAGCAGGGGGACGGAGGTCCGAGAAGACCCGTTCTCCATCACTGTTGCAGGCGATAGGACACTCCCAGCCTCCTCCTCGTCATCCTCCACCCATCGTAAAAACAGAGACAGGAAGCGAGACCGTAGCCTCCCGCCTCCTGTTTCTTCTGATGACCCATTTTCAATCATGATGATTGGCAGCCCAACACACCAGACGTCTCTGGCTGCAGCAGCTGGATTAATCCCTGCGCCCAGCAGCAGCAGCAGTGGCTCTACCAACAACAGTCAGCTGGGACTCAAAGATGATTCAAGCACTTTACCCACAGGCCAGTCAAAGAAAGAGGTGATCCACTGGAACTCTGTTCACAACCCGTTTAGTGAGTGTGTCTCTGGAGCTATGAGCAGCTCCAAAACACAGGAAGGAGGTGGTAAAGGAGAGGGAGGAGGAGAGAGGAGAAAACATCGATCATCAGTCAGTGAGCCACGCAGGAACGCCCCTCCACTCACGCGGCATTCAGGCCCACAGGAGGATTTGTGTTTTTCAACAGACAAAGATCAAGACTGCCTGGATCTGGATGCTCAGATACCCAGCACCGTCGGCTCTCACAACGGTACCGATGTCTTCTGTTTAGGTTTTTAGTTAAGTTTTAGTCTCATAAAAAGCAAATGATGAGAGAGTCTCAAATATTAGCAGGATTTATTCCCACATGAGACCTAACAATTACTACATAGTTCACAGAGACTCACTGACAGGTGTTTTCACTCCCACAGAAAATCCCACTCAGTGTTGACCACTTTACTAACATTATGATATAAAATCAGTTAAATTCATGCTGTATCATATCCTAAAGTTATATGATGGGGTGATAGCCAAAAGTACAAGTAATCAACATTGTGTGTTTTTTCTCACTAAAGACGAAAACGTCTGAAGAATAATCAGACACCAACAGGATACTAAACCCTTAATTAAATCAGTACAAATACAGTGGTACCAGGACTGGTGCCAGGTTGCTTTGGCAGGGCGTCCTGTTCAGCTGCTCAGAAAACAAACTCCGACTGATTTTGGAGCAGACTGACCCTTATTCCCGTTTCAGTGTGTGATTTAGACCAGCTTTGAGTCATTGTCTGTTTGTCTGTGTCTTTGTAAGGGTTCAAGCATAACTTCAGACAGAATACAGCTGAAGTGGTCACAGCTGCTCTTCAGAGAGCAACCCAGACCAAGAAGGCTTCAGCCCGACTCAGCGGCAGTGAGAGAGTGAGTATCAGTCATCAGTAAACAGCTGAGCTGATTTAATGACTTCATACTCTTAATTTTATGACTTGGACTTATAACATTACGGCTTTTTAAAATCACAATTCCTGTTTTACTCTTGTGTGTTTCAGTCCCGATCCCTGTGCTCGTCCCCGCTGCCGGAGCCCAGCCCTTCCCTCACCACCTCCTCCTCCTCCTCCAGTCCCAGTGAGTGTGGGCCTCAGGCCAGGGACGTCGAATGGGGGGAGCAGAACCGAGCGCCCAGCCCTGCCAGAGCGGGGCAAGCCTCACCACTGCCCTTCCAACGCCAGGACCACCAACAAAGACAGCGTAAGCCTCAGCATATAACTGAAGTTACACTACAAATGGGTGTTTGAACGTAGTAGCATGACCTCTGTTCAAATGAGCATGGGGAGGCAAGATAAAGTGACTACGCCTCATTTCTTTTCAGCTTAGAGCCTCTGGTGAGACTCAAAACAAACTGACACCTTAACCCCCTTCTAATCACTTTTTGCCCCTCCCATCACATCCTATTTCCTGAAGCTACGATGCAAACTATGGAAGCTTGGCTGCGACAAACAGCAACTAACATTAGCTTCAGACTGGAGGCTGTATTTTGCAAACGAGTAGATTTGTCAGTCCAGTAGAACGCTCTGGTTATGGTGACACAAAGCACTGATGTTACACAAATATCAAATTACTCCCAAATTAAAATCATATTAATTCAATGCAAATGTAAAATCATGACCATGTTCTCTTTAGATGCTGAGTGGACTTTGTTAACTGTAGACATGCTAGCTGTGTCCCCCTGTTTCCAGACTTTATGCTAAGCTAAGCAGCTGCTGGCTGTTGACTCATATTTAATGTACTGCTGTGAGAGTGGTATTGATTGTCTCATCTAGATATAGATATATATATCCCAAAATGTTACAATGTTCCTTGAAACAAGACTTGTTTATTAGAAATAGACTAAAAAAAGATCACATTTATCATCCACAGTGCACCTGTCCAGGGGTCCCAGTCCCATTTCCCTCAGCACACAGGAGGCCCGCCCCCCCCAGCCATAACGGAGTACATCAATGCCTACTTCAAAGGTGGACAGCATAACCGGTCAGCATGATAATACTTTTTAAATACAGTATAGTCACACGGTGGTACAGCCTCTGTTGTTGCTGACATTTGTCATGATTACTTGGTGTGTGCTTGTCGACAGATAACAGGGTAAGAAAACCACTCTGGATTAAGTTAACCTGGCTTGTATGTTTTCTTCTTTCTTCAGCTGTCTGGTGAAGATCACGGGTGACCTGACTATGTCCTTCCCAGCAGGCATTACCAGGATTTTCACAGCCAACCCCAACGTTCCTGTGCTCAGCTTCAGGCTGGTCAACATCTCACGGATCAATCACTTCCTGCCAAATCAAAAGCTGCTCTACAGGTCAGCTGTCCTCTGCGTTTTGTATTACAAACTTCTCTATTCCTGTAAATAAATAAATAAATAAAAAGGGTCCCATCCTGCTGTCTCTGTCTCTCCATAGTGATCCTTCTCAGAGTGACCCAGACACCAGAAACTTCTGGTTCAACATGCAGGCTCTGCAGCTCCACCTGCAGAGAGAGGCTGAGCTCAACCCTCAGGCCTCTTACTACAATATTGGCCTGCTCAAGTATCAGGTCAGTGTTGGAAGTGAAGCTAAACTCACCCTTCGTTACTGGATAGTTCATCGTTGTTGTATCATCATCACATAATTTGTGGATGTGGAGGTGGTTGTATGTGACTTCAACAGGTCTCCAGGAGCCTAGGGTATCCCTAGTTTGTAACTCTTGTGTATTACATACACTTCAGTCAGAGAGAATCGTCTGTGAGCGTGTGAAATTTAGACTTGCCCAAATTGCTCAAACCCAAATTCTGACTGAAGGTCTCTTTAGGCTTCCCTTTTTGTTAGAGGTTTAACTGAACACTCTCTGTTGTCCCTATGCTTAGTACCAAATTATGTTTTTATTTTTTAGACTCATTTAAGCTCATGTCTTTTCTCAGGTGTTGTCCCAGGACCCGGCTCAGGCTCCCCTCTTGCTGTCGGCAGAGACGGTGACCCGGGTGTCCCTGGATTATCACTGCTGTCCCGCCACCGCACCCTCCACCCAGCTCACCGCAGTCCAGGTGCTGCTGCCATTAGACCACACTGCCAGGGACCTGCAGTGCCAGCCGCCCGCCTCCTGGTGAGCAGTGACGATGTGATGGTGGAGGGATAGTGAGTGGTTTCTGTTGGCTGTTAATTGTCAGTCATTATTAAAATATGATTGCACGGTCAAGGACACCAGAGCTGCTGTAAAAGAAGGAGAGCCTGAGGCTTTGAGGGTGATGGAGGTCAGGAGAAATTTAAATAAAGTCAAGATGGACACTAATGACAGAAAGAAGAAGCAGGTTAGGTGTCAGCAAGTATTTACAAGCATTTGTCTTGAACCACCCGATATAGAAATGTACATGTTAGAAGGAGGGTTTGACAATTAAAGCCCTGTTGTTGTCAGTGGGAAATGTCGGCCTGTTCCTTGTTTCGATTATCTTCATTATTGATTAGTTTTTTCATTAATCGCTTGTTCTGTAAAATACTGGAAAAGGCCGTCACAATTTCTTAAAGTCCAAAGTGACACATTCATGACATTGTTTTGTCCAACCAACAGCCCAAAACAATGTCCACTTGCCAGTGTTTCGGACGTTTAGCTAACGAGAGCTCCTCTCCTCTGTGGCTGGATGTTTGAAATGACTACTCGCAGTCTGAGAAACGCTTCTTATAACCTTCGCTAGGTGGCAGGCCGGGCTAATTTACAGGCCATAATTTGACAACACAGGGCAAAGGACCTGGAGAAACAACAGAAAGGCTGTAGGCAGCAGAGTGTCATGTATGGGGGGGCAGTAAGGCAGAGAGATGCCACATCTAGTCCTGTTTTTTTTTTCACTGGATTTATCAGAGATCATTTAAACTCTTAGCTAATGCACCTCTAAAGAAAGTAAAATGGTAGAGATTAAGGAGGAAGTTTGGCTTCACCAACTGTTTTTGCCTCAACAGGAACGCTGAAGAACGACGGCTCCTGTGGAAACTCCCGAACCTCTCCCCAACCAACCACAGCAAAGGTCAGAGCTCTGCTGCTGCTCTTTTACCCCTCAGCTTTTATTTTTTAACCCTCATTGTAGAAGAGAGGTTTACAGTTTTCCTCAGTCACTTTTAGTACATTTCTGGAATCATCCTTGATACTGAGCTTCTCTTCTTCTTCCTGGCAGTGGACGCTGTTTAGTACTTTATCAATTGACAGAAGGGTGACACTGTGTTGTCCTCTGTCCATTTTGAAGGTTCATGATATATGTAAACCTCGGAGCTGATAAATAGTTGGCTGATCATTGAGCTAATGCTTCACATAGTCCCCTTCATTAGTACAAGTCAAGATTCACCTGAGAGCAACTCATCAGTTCAGACACGTTTGCAAAAAAGTCTAATATGCCTGACAGATACTAAAGACAAGTGGTTCACCCATTTTGCATGTAATGACATCGGACTAGTTGTTTTGGGAGGTCAGACTTCAACAGAGAACCATATATTACATTGTGATCAACATCACATAAGCAGCTGATAATGTTTGAAATAGACGGTTGTGCATTTAAATTTGTTCAAAAGAATGAGAAACAAATGTGATGTGCGCAAGTCACTGAATGATGTGGAGGTTGAACAAGTAGTTTAGGAATTTTATTTCTGATCCGAGAAATGTAGAAAAGTGACTGAGAAAAAATGTAATAAGAAATGTTCGTTTGGAACACATTAACGCACTTTAACATCTGTCTCTCTAATCGTTTCAGCCTGCGTCACAAGCAGCCATCTGATTTTTTTTTTTTCATATTAAAATTAGTGCCACAACTTTCTACTTCATTGCTTCTCACCGGGTTCACATCTCGACATCGTGTCAGACAAATGTAGAAATGAATAATTAAGAGTTGTATAAATGGATCTGTGCTCCACATCCTTCTCTTTTTAAAAAGCTGCAGTCTTGAAGGCATGTCATTACCTTTTACCAGCAACATGTGAGCGTGGCAGCTGCTCTCATCAGCCTGGCTGAGGTGAACACAACGAGACCGGAGGTGCATCTGAATAGTGAACCGATATAAAGAAGAGCATAAAACACTCCTCTTTTATTTTATGTCAGGTTGATCGTTGCTCATTTCACGACCTTAATGGTGCACAGCTAAGAGCGGGCACGTAATCAAAGATTATTAGAGGGAAAATGTTCAATTAAATTTTAGCTCACAGGACACCCACATTCCCTTTTTATTTTTTCATCTAGTGGTATATATTATTATTCTACCTGAGTGTGAAACTACAGGCTCGGAGAACAGAGAAAGAAACTTCATAGTGATGGATGAGACGCTAAAGGCTGAAAACCTTCACAGTTAGAGGGCGTCTCTGGTTTGACTCCTCGCTCTCCCCGTTTCCCTGCACCACCCCTCTCTATTACTAAAATGTTGAATATGGGTTATGTTAAGAAATTACACTTAAAGATGAGGCTGTTAAAGTAATGCAGTATATTACTGTGAGATCTGACCTGATGCTTCGCTGTGTGAAGTGCCGAGTGTCTAAAACTCACCGATCTTCTTTCTTCAAAATCAGTGTGCTAAAAATTCTAGCACCATTAAAAACCGTCACTTATGTGTATGACCTTTTGTTATTGCTGTCAATTCATCTATCTCTGTCACATATGTGTGTCCCAGGCTCAGGGACTGTGTGCGCCAGCTGGCAGTGCCTGGAGGTTCCCCGCGGCCCTCCGCCCAGCCTGGCCGTCCAGTTCGTAGGCTCAGAGGCCTCGCTGTCGGGCGTGGACGTGGAGCTCGTGGGCAGCCGCTACCGCATGTCGCTGGTCAAGAAGAGATTTGCCACAGGTGATGCTCTCAAACACACTCACCAGGGTTTGTTTTTCCCAACAGATCAGAATGGTGCAGGTGCAGGCTCATGCTTCATCAACACATCACCTCCAACTTAATGTATTTTATAAACGGCTTTTACCCTAAATATAGAAATTTACATATAATTTTAAATGGAGGCTGGTAACTAATAACATAAGTGGGTGTTAAAGATATACAAATCACTGTGAACTCAGACTGTTTACTTCTACTTACAATTTGAAATATTTTACATATTGCTGGGTAGATTGTGAATTTCCACCAAGGATCAATGACTGTACTGTATTTTATTCATCTGAGAAGTAAGTACCTGTAATTGTACTTACGTACAGTACTTGTGCTCCACCACTGACTCCAGTTATACTAAAATAACTGTTGCTGAAATAATTAGTCAATATAAGAGGCAAGTTACCCGATAAAGCTAAATGCAGTCTTTTTTTTTTATTACCGATTAAATGTTTCAGCCATTTATCAGAATTATAAGTTGGAACTAATGAATTTAGACATGGTTAATAAATGCTTATGGATCATTGTACATCATGGATAAAAGCTTTTGGGTTGTCTGTCTGTGAACATTGCCATTGACCACTTGTTTCTAGAAAGGTGGATACACATGATCGGGACCACAGTCTGTTTATTAGCAACTTGTATAACTCCATTACTATTAGAAACGAAGGATAAACACCAGTCAAAGGGACATTTCACAGCTTGGCAACCCACAAGTTGTTCTTATGGATGGTTCATAACATATCTATAAAACCTTAATAAGATTTAAAACTAAAAGCTATTCTATGTTACAACTTCTAAACACTGAATTATTAGAAAGCAATGCAAACATCACTAACCAATTGGAGAAAAAATCACCAAATCGGGACTGTAATAACGTGGTAATCAGTGACTAACGCTCAAATTTTTATGGAGTTCATTGGAATAAATTTATACTGGAGTATTACAGTTGTTAGGAGATAAACAGAAGATACCAAGGCATTCATTTAATTAATGACCAAGGCTTTAATTAAACTGGCATGTTCAATATGTTACGTAAACCAATCAGGCATAACATTATGACCACCTGCACACCTGTTTGCACTTCATTGCAACACTTCTGCCTTAACATTTTTGTTTATGGTGAGATTGTCAAATGTATAAATTCAATTATATATATTCATTATTGAGGTCATAGTTAAAGGTGGTGTTGTACTGGACTGCATTATATTCAGCAGTGTTCCTAATATTCTGACCCTCTCGTGTATGTCAATGGGCACGGCAAAAATATACAGACAAATGTTAAGGCATAACAAATGAAGTGCATACAGATGTACAGGTGGTCATAATGTTATGCCTGATCGGTGCATGCTGTAACTTCCCAAGGAAGGCTAGACGCTGCAATGCTTTGGTTACTTGTTCATTGAACATGTCGATTATAAGTAAAGCATTTTAACTTGTGCCTTGGTCTCTTCTTTATTGATCTCCAAAGCTTTAGAGTCATTAGCAAAGAGTACCGTCTTTACTTGTCTGACTTCAGAACACTAGTTCCAAGTAGCTCTCCTTTTTTTGTTAGGCGATAAGTCAGTTCAAGGCAGCCTAAAGGAACAGTTCAACACTTTGGGAAATATGCATCTTTGCTGTCCTGCTAATAGTTAGACGAGGAGATCAGTTGTTTGTGCCACTCTCACATCTGTATGTTAAATACAAAGCTCCATCCAGCACCTGGTTAGCTTAACACAAAGACTGGAAATGGAGGGAAACAACTAGCCTGCCTGGCTCTGTCCAAAGGTAACAAGCCCACCTGACAGCACCCTGAAAGCCACATTAACATGTTTTAACTATGTCTCAGCCAGAAAGTGAACGAGTGTTTCCCCAAAATGAGAACCTTTCAGGAATGTTGAGTCCACTGCATGGGGCAGATGCTGTAGCATACTCACATGACTGTTTTTTTCTGAAGCTGCTTTCTTCTTTCTTCCTTTAACAGGGAAGTACATGGCAGGCTGCTCCTTGTGAAGAATGTGAAAAGGACGCAAATTTCTAAATGGACCATCACTGGAATGTCACAGGACTTGGCACTTTTTCAGCGTCTGAGTCGAGGGCCAGGCAGCACAGGAAAATGACTTGTGGTAAGAAACCCGGAGACAAGGTCCCTTCACTCAGACTTGGTGTGCACTTACTTCTGACAGGGTCCTGCTATTTTGGGACCAAGCCTTTTTTTCTTCTTTTCCTCTAATTTAAGTTGTTGTACAGTCAGTCATTCTGCCTTTTCCAGGAGGAAAAGTCTTTTTTTTTTTCTCTACAATCTCACTGTTCACTTAATGGTCTTTGTGCCTTTGTGGTTATGAGACTGCAAGTGAGCCAGATGTCAGAATGATCTAAAGTTAGAGGAAAGTGTGTGACACTAAAGTTAAGAATATTTCTGTCTGGAGCTGAGTCACCATGGAGACTAGGATTTTTAAATTATGTGAATACTGTATCTCTAGAGCATCCTAAAGAATCATTTGTGAACAATGATCTTCTACAAAATGTTAAAACAACTTTGTATGTAAACCCGCTGTTTGTTCCAGAGAGAGGTTTTGTGATGTTAATATTTGATAAAAATAAATGTGCTCAAACCTTTTTGGTTTACACCAATTTATTACACATTGTGACCAAGTACAAAATACAGCTGAACTATGCAGTTTATTACAGACCATCATCTGTCCTTAGGCTAATTAAAGTGTAGTCAAGAACAGGTTTAAAAATACACAAAAATAAGGGTTCAGTATGCTTGTAAGAGGAACCGAATCTAGTTCAATAAAAAATAATCCTCCGCCAAAAATCTAAAACAGCCTTACAAAACATTACAAAGTACACATAGAAATAACTTTTTTTTCCCCCAAAAGCACTTGAAGGCAAATTACTGTGACAGGCACGAGTTACAAAAAGCCTTAAATAACTCAAGCTTGAGGATTCTCATCGCTACAACAAAGTCATCTGAGGGGGAATCCAGGACGAGGGAAAAATAAAACCAACCGATTTCAACACAAAGCTGACGTCAATCAAATCCGAGTGGTTCATATAAATAGAAGTTTGTGACAGTTTACCAGGTTACTCGGGTGCAGGTGGCACCACGGTAATAACTGAGTTTCATACACTGAACAACTGAGATCAGAAACAAATTCCTCACACACCAGTCTAATCTGTTACACACTGAAGTATCTTTCTCTTATACAACGTGACCGACTGAGTATAGAGTGAGGAGGGAGATTAGGCAAAGACTGAAGGCCACGGAGCACACACTTTCTACATCATAGATATATATATA